ATATATATATATACATATATCACACACACATATATATATATATACTTATATATATATATATAGTATAAAATATAATATATAGTGCTTTGAACCACTTTATTCCCACCTTTTGGTTTGCAAATTCACAAATATAGCCTTTTCCTTCTATATGTACAGTGAAAATCGTGCGTTACGCCCTAGTTAGCGGCCTTGTACATGTATCTGGCTTCCTTGACCAAGATGAGCAAGTCTACCTGTGGGACTGTATATCGGAACAGGGTATGTTGCAGCGAAAATGTTGACGAAAAACACATCAATTGGAACTACACATGTAGTAGATTTTATAGTTTACGTATATTTGGCATGTATAGGCAGACATCTGCTGTGTCTAATGTGTACTTTTCTGCGTAATGTACGTAAGTGCTGTGAACATGTGCAGTTTGAGTCCTCCAAATTTGACCTTTGGAGTTCTATGGTTGAAACAAATCAGCGTTCTGCATGGAGGGGTATGTATATGTGATCTCATACCTAAACACGTACCTGAATTTCTGATCACATTTTGGAAGCTTGTCTACCAGACGCTTGTCTAACAAAAAATGTGTGAAGATGTACACAATAATTATTCAGCGTATATGATGTCTTGAATAGAAAGATTCCTGTGCAATCTAGTGACTAGGCCTATCACCGCTTCTGACATCCGCTTGTTGCATGTTACTTCGTTGACTAGTCGCATAGTCTTACGACCTACATAATGATATTTAAAAAACCATGTCTGACCTGTAGTGTTCAAAGCCCGGTAGCGGCGTGCAAATAACCACATCGATGTACCAAACACTCGGTAACCGTACACGGTACTGTTACTTCCTGAGCACACTCTGTAATGTCACACACGTTCCATGTATAGGCTGGTTTGATAATCCCGTCAACAATCAGGCCATGCGCTTCGGTAATTTGCAAAGCTGGGCATCAGAACTAGGCACCAACATCCGCAATCTGTACGTCTACGTTCACGGTGTGTGTGTCCAGATCTGCGGCTCTCTGGCTGTCTGTCTGTCTGTCTGTGATTGGTATATGCACGCGCAAACGTTCATAAACAACAGATCTCGCCTGGTGGGGCAAGCACGAGCACCCGAGGATCACACGAGTTTATACCTGGGCTTCTCAAATGTGTTCAGCACAAGTGTTGATTGGCTAGCTAGGTTGTGGTGGCGATAAGGGGCGTCTGGCTCGGAAACCCCTTTTAAATGAAAACATTGAGTAGGGATCTAGTCGTTTCGATGCACCTTTTATGGTACAAACCCAATCTTTGGTCCAAGATATAATCGAGATGTGGTTTTGTATGTCCGAGTATGTATGCAGTTGTTGGGTATGCGAAGAGATGTCTAGGACTGAGTTTCCAATTCTGACTAAGTAGTCACCTTGTGTTCCCGAAATAGGTCTCTTCGCCACAACTTATTGCCAGATGTGGTGCTTGAACGTATTCCGCTCTTCGACCAGATGATTGTCAACAGCTACCAGATAGGCGATGGCATTAAGGTAGCATATATACCAAACATTACTATCTGTATTGTAACACACTATCTGCACATATATATCAAACATCGGCACATATAAACATATATGCCAGACATTACTATCCGTATTGTAACATACTATCATATACCAAACATCAGTACATATATATATATACTAAACATTACTATCTGTATTGTAACATACTATCTGTACATATATACATATATACCAAACATTACTATCTGTATTGTAACATACTATCTGTACATATATATCAAATATCTGTACTTATACACATACATAGCAAACATTACGTCTGGTGTGCGTGTCTGTGCGTGTATAACGACGTTTACCCAAAGATGTACATCCAACGTAAGAGGGGGGGGGATGTTTAGGGTATGAGCTCAGGTGCAACGTCGGCTTACGTTGTGAATGTCCTTGCGAGTATTGTACACAAGCAGTGCATAGACGTACACCTTTGCTTCGTACCACCACGCCTTATATGCCAGTAGTTCGGCCGCGCATTATCTGCGTGCTAGATACAAAGGTAGGCATTTCATGACAACGGGACCACCTTGTGTTTCTATGATATGTTGACACACGGCCAGTACAGTACATTCGGACGATACTACCATCTATGGCCGGGCAAATGTTCCACTGTACAAATATGCCAAAAACAAAAACAAAAACAAAAATGCAAAGTAAATCGTGTTATTCTTAACCACCAGGCACACGTGGATCTTGCTAGATTTGCCGACGGCATCGCTGTAGTATCTCTAGGCTGTCCGTGTGATATGCAGTTCACCAGAACTCTCCCGGCCACAGAGAGCGACGGACCTCACACTCACACGGGAAGAGCGGAGGGCCAACCCAGCGATCCCCCACGCCTACACTCCCATCGCGTTAATGGGGTGCCACTTGGTAGTGTACGGCAGAGTCTTTCTGACAAGCAAATGAGCACAGATACAACTGCCAGTATAGACGATAGCACTGGCGCATGCACGAGTAGCGGAACCGAATCTGTTGTTATGCGTCTTTGTCCAGGTGAGGAGACGTCGGTGGTTGTTGGTACGTGTGTTGCGTGAGTCATACTGTTATATACTGTTATATCACCTATAATAGGGATGTAGTGCGTGTGGCTAATTAGTATGTATTCATGTGCGATGATTCATGTGCGATGAGCCACGCAACAGGTGTATGAAACAGTATTATTGGGGTGAAATATATGTGAACACGGACGAGATATGAACGATCATGCATTGTAGGTGTCACGCTACATGCGCATCACCCCTCACTCTCTTGTGTATTCTGAGCTACGTATGTCGCTGTGTGAGTCTGTGTGCACTGGGTATCGACTGTGGACATGTTTAGTGCGTGTGATCAGTGCCATTCACCACTGCCAGCCAGATCAATACCGAATCAAGATGTGCATATTAGTCTGTCGATACCAAGTTAGTCTTATCTCCCAACATTAGTCTTCTTTTACAGTTTGACTATCGAACGCAGTGACTTGTACCAGCTCTTGTATTAAACCCTTTCTCCGTCTATCTCTCTGTGTGGCTGGTCTCCCACAGTGCCGTTGCGCACAGCTGCAGGTGTGTGCTAGGTTAAACGTGTACTGTGAGTGAGTCAGTGGTCTATGATCTGTTTTAGTATACGGTAGACCTTATAACTCACTGCTACCCATCTCACCGCTCTGTCACGAACACTACACACGGCCTGTGCCTACCTACCGCAGGTGACTTGCTGATCTTGTCGGAGGATGCGCGATATACGTGGGCGCACGGAATCGACAGGGTCACTGAAGGCCACCGAATCTCACTCACATTGCGATCGGTTAAGACAGATAGCCGCACGCTGACCTGTCCATCAGAGTAGAAAACCAGTAGGGTGCGGGGTCTACCTCCATCACCTAATGCACGGGGCGTGTGCAGTGGTAATAGTCCTGTGATGAATGCACATGCTGCATACATCTACGTAGTGTAAACTATATCAGTATGGATATTGGAGCACACATACGAAATCAAAGGAGTGCCTCCCGATGTGTGGGGTGGGTTGTAGTCACAGCGTTTTTTGTGCTGCGGCGCTTTATCTGGCCGTGTCGAGTGACACCGCTGCAGTTGCAGAGCGCCACGTGGTTGTGGCAACCCCGTATGCCAAATACCATAGGATGAGCGAAGAATGCACGTGTTGCTGTAGAATCTGCTTTAAATGTGTAGAGGTGTGTATTCTAGTTAACAGACCCACGCACGCCCCTGGCAGCAGACAGGGATATCACAGGACTAGATGTAAATTTGTGAATGTGGCCAGTCTGTACGTACTGCCAATTCTGGGAATTCTGTGTATCCAGCAAACGAACCGCTTATTGCCTGACTTTAGGGCTCCCTAAAGTAGCAAATGCAAGAATCTCATTCGCGAGCGTTTTGCACATAAAAAATAATAATACGAAGCGCTGAGTGTCACAGCTTGTTTTTTAAATCAAATCTGCGTCTCCACAATATATTAAAATCTTCGTCTGAGGCTCAATGGGACCTCGTTTCCCTTGATATTTGTCCTGGCATTATTCGTTTAACAATTAGACGAGATTGGTTCTCCCATGCCAACTCATCTCAATATATTGCATATATATATATATATATATATATATAAATATATATACATAATATATATATATATATGTATATATATATATATATATATATATTAATATATATATATATGTGTGTGTGTGTTTGTCTTTGTGTGTGTCTTTGTGTGTGTCTTTGTATATATATATATATATATATATGTGTGTGTATATCCGCTTCTATGTAGTGTTGTTATCACCACCGGAGAGCATTATTGCGGGTACTGCATAGGAATATTTGCCACCTGTAACATAGGAAACGCGGTGTCTATTTTCTGTTTGATGACTTTAAACACTTCCTGGTGACCCCGCTTGCTGAAGTGTAGACCGTCAACAAAGCACGATTTCCAATCAGGTAGTGCTTGCATGTGTGTATACAGTTCTACCGACGGAACCTTCAACATAGCTGCTAAGGTCATACACGCATCGGCGTACAAACCTGTCACATGGTTGTTCCGATTGGGAAATTTGCTATCGTCCACTGGGGGCGGGCAAATCAGCAGTATACTTGTGTCCTTGTATATATTTTTGATTGTTTTTACCATCGTCTTCATATTGCGAACGTATTTTTTGAGAGGGACGCTTACTGGGTCGGGTGGGACAATCGCATCGTTAGTGCCCAGGAAAAGTGTAATGAGTGCTGGGCTTTCGAAATACGAAACCTCATTCATGATGTGGTCAAAGGCGTTTGTGCGAAGCATCTTCTCCGTTGTGTAACCGGACAGACCTCGGTTGATCACATCGACCCGACGTGTATATTCGAACCCCAAAAGGTCTCCAAATCCGAGGATGTAGGGATTCGCCGAGTATTGCGTGATCGAGTCACCGATCAACACAAAAACAGGACGAGGTTCCATTGTAATAACATCTTGTTCCAAATATGTATTAATACCACTATCGTCTCCACGTATAAGCTCCCCTTCCGATCCAGAGGTTGGTTTCTGGGCTTCGAGAATTAATTTATTACCAGTGCATGTATATTCTAAGAGGAGCACGGATAAGATCAGGTACTTGACGCATACCTGAAAATGGACAAGCATACTGATGGTATAAAGCGGAAGATATCAACCAATAGACAAACCTGAAATCAACACACTTAAAGGCGAGGGTTTAAAATTGACGCGTTTTATACCTAGCCTTCTATGTACATGCTTCATTTAGAAGGCTATGTTTTATAGAGGAAAATAGTACATTTCAATAAGGCGGCTAATGGCTACCTATGGAGAAAAAAAACTTATTATTTTGTTTAAAAAAAACATAAATAATCGAGAAAAAAAGTCGATGCAATTTTATATAAAAATACATATGAGACATCTCCAACTTCTTGGTCCAAGTCACAAGTAGCAAGTCACCAATATAGGACCACGCTGAAGAATAATTTATAGGGCCAACGGGCATAGCCTTCTAAATTGAAACATTTGGGACATTTTAAATTCCCAACAATTCATCTGTGCCGAACTGCCGCTCCTAGCCTTCTAAAATTAGACATGCCGCGCGTGAAGAAAAAATAATTGGGCTCACCTGGCTGCCCTCGACTCTCGAGTGATCCTGTTTCCAGTTTCCACTGAATACGATCTGATGAGTCATGATCAGGCGTCCAGGTCCCCACGACTCCAGGCCACCACGAGTGACCAGGTACATATTTACCTTTTTTTAATAAATATTTTCATATCCAGCTATTTTGAAAAACCTACAGCCCCTGCTAGAGCCTCGATCGCCAAATGTTCTTATATGTGCTATGTGCATGTATGCGTGCGTATATGTGCGGAGTGCATGTATATATGTACTGTGTACATATATATATGTGCTGTGGGCATGTATGCATGAAAATCTGTGCGGATTGCATGTATATATGTGCTGTGTACATATATATATATATATATATATATATGTGTGTGTGTGTGTGCTATGTGCATGTATGCGTGCGTATATGTGCTGTGCGGAGTGCAGGTATATATGTGCTATGTGCATATATGCATGCAAATATGTGCTATGTGTATGTATATATGTGCTATGTGCATGTATACATGCGTATATGTGCGGAGTGCATGTATATATGTGCTATGAACATATATATATGTGCTGTGGGCATGTATGTTTGAATATATGTGCGGAGTGCATGTAAATTTATACTGTGTACATATATAAATGTGCTATGTGCATGTATGCATGCGTATATGTGCGGTGTACATATATATATATATATATGCTGTGGGCATGTATGTATGAATATATGTGCGGATGCATGTATTTATGTGCTGTGTACATATATTTATATATGTGCTGTGCATGTATTCATGCAAATATGTGCTATGTGCATGTATATATGTACTATGTGCATGTATGTATGCGTATATGTGCGGAGTGCATGTATAAATGTACTATATTAGCTGTAGTTATTACAAATAAAACACACATATTGAATATGACAGATTGGGGAGCATAAACGTACCCATGATAGACAAGTAAAGAAGTCCGTTTGAGCTCCGAACGAGGCATATCTGGCCGCCTTCTCCTTTATCTGACGTGTATACTTAAGATCAAACTGTATTATCCTCAATATAGTGGCGTACGATATTGTCTTACCGCCATTAGCCCGTTGCACTTGTCTCTGCAGTTCGTCAAGGTAAATAGCAGGTTTTTCATTATACATTGTTTCTACTTGACTGATTAGTTCTTTAGTTCGCAATAAATCATCTCGTCTCTTGCGTTGCTTAGTGACCTTCACAAGACTACCTATGCTCAACCATTGCTTAACTATTCTCCGAGTTGTGCTATCCGAAACTCTAAATAATAATTTGATATCATCATATGTAAGATTATAATAATACCAAGCAGAGATAGCTAACCAGGCTATATTCTCGAATACTGCCATTTTTTCTATTTATTTGTTTGTGTGTATTGTGTGTGTGAATAAATATATTTTATTTGTGTTCATATGTTTGTGTTCATATTCAAGTTTATTTTATTTTTACAATAAATAAATAAAAATGTAGTTGGAAGAATCAAAGAAAGATTTTCCAGGTTCACTCACAAGTGTGAAATCGGGGTGCGTTTTGTTCAAATCCTGCACCTTTTCTTCCTCGATTTCCAAGCTGTGAGAGCCAATGAAAACGTCGTTTTATAATTTTTCTATAGAACATTTCCATCTAAATGTAAATATCCTTCAGGAAATATTCTACTATTTCAAAAAGAAAATATATATATATACAAGCGATCATTGGTTAATAATTTTAACTCTTTTAAGTTTTGGCCATTAGCCAGGTTGATTTCCACGAACTTTTCAGTCCTTGCTGCCAGGTTTCCGATTCTGGAAACCCCCGCTATAATAACCGGTGTGTGCTTGTCAAAATAGCTAGGAACTACAATATGTAAGTAAATATATTTAAAAAAAATAGGGTTCTTTTGTAAATACACTTTGTTTTGTTTTTTATTAACAACAAAGAATATATTAAATAGTAGTTTGAACACCTAAATAATTTAATTTTTTTATTGTAGTATTTATTTTTTAAAAGTATCACATGCGTATGTCTATTGTTTCTTTTATTTTTGTGTTTTTTAAAATATAATAAAAAAATCAAATGTGGGGGGGGGGGGTTTTTAAATACAAAGAATCAATCATCATCGTAAATTCATAGCCTACTAAAATATAACAGATCTATGGACGTGTTTTATTTTTGTTTTTTTTTACAAAAACCAAAAACTATAATATGTATTGTATGTATTTACATTGATTTTTTTATTTTATTCATATTTTTATTAAATAAAAAATGCATACTTGAAATATTTTTGCTTGACTCTCCAGTCTCCAGTCTCCAGTCTCCCCTCTCCAGCTTAACTATGCTGGGGGTACGGGATAGAAGTTGAACGTAAACACGTGTTTATTCAATTTTGAAACGATATAACGGTTATAATGCGTTCAGAAGGGCCTACCTAAGTTCTTTTGTAGGACTGGTTCGTATCGTGAACATAATGTTTAGACCCACAAGATGCATCTATGAGCACACAAAGGACCGCATATGGAATAGAAGTTGAACGTAAACGTATATTTATTCGATATATAAAAGTTTTAATGGAAAACGGTATGAAGTTAGCTTTCCAGTCTCCACTGTCTCCTGCTGGTCTCCTCTCACCTCTGACTCTCTGAGTCTCGACTCTGACCAATAAGTCAGTGACCACTCTCTGATGACTGGTCTCTCTTGCAGTCTTGCCGGTCTGGCAGAGTGGCAATCTCTCACTCCCAGTCCAGCCTTTTTTCTTCGAGCCACGGCCTCTCACCAGTCGCCACTCACCAGTCATCAGATGATCAGACTCATCTGAGTCATCTCCTCGCTCTAGAGATTTTGTTTAAAAAAAAACCAGTATATGATAAATAGGTAAGTCTCCAGAGTCCAGACTCTCCACTCTCAATTGCTTCAAGGCTCCAGCCTCCAGGGAGTCCAGGCTCCAGCCTTCAGGCCAGGGCTCCAGTCTCCACTCTCAGTCTCCACTCTCCAGTCTCAAGACTCCAGTCTCAAGACTCCAGTCTCAAGACTCCAGTCTCAAGACTCCAGTCTCAAGACTCCAGAGTCTAAACTTCAGCTTCCAGACCAGAAGATCACGTCAACAGGGTCCGTGATCCAGCGTTCATATTTAAAAAAAAATTACCATAAGGCTTTATAGTGTCCTAGATAATAAATGTCCAGCCTCCAGCGGAAGCCTCCTCCTCCCAGCGATCAAAAAAAAAGGCAGGACCATAGCCATAGCCTTTACAGTACCTCAAACCGCTTTCCTAATAAATATACGTTTACGTTCAACTTTTATTTCCTATGCGGCCCTTTGTTTGCTCATAGGTGCAGCTTTCGGGTCTAAACATTTAGATGTATATAATGTCCACAATACGCACCAGTCCTATAAAAGAACTTAGGTAGGCCCTTCTGAACGCATTATAACCGTTGATACGTTTAAAACTTGAATATATATACGTTTACGCTCAACTTCTATCCCGTACCCCCATAACCCCATAACGTCACATCTCACATAATTATAAAAGAGTAAAGAAATCCGAATCTCAATCTCACACTCACACAGTCTCACACTCTGAGTCAGAGTCTCAGACAAGTGACAACTGACAGTCGACAACTCGACATTCTCAATCTGAATCAGTGAATCTGTGGTTATTGTTTTTGAATTTCAAAAAAAACAACAATACATACTAAAAAACATGGTTTGATCTTTGTTTTAGTTTTTTTAGAAGACTACACTCCATATGGCCTATGGCCAATTGGCTTTGGGCCAAGGGGCATTGGGGCATGGGCGTTCGTGATATATTTCTCGAAATATTGTGTTTTCGTTTAAAATATTTTTTTATTTAGTATGTACCTGTGTTTGTTTTCCTATTGTTTTTAAAAAAAACAACTACATGAACTGTTTTCTACACAAAAAGGTAAAGTTTACTCTGGAGTTTGGGAATCGAGGAGTCAGAGACCACTTTCTTTTTCAGTTGCTGGTGATGAATGGCATGTCGCTCCAAAACTGAAACGCAGCAAACAGGCGCCAAACACAAACTGAATCGAGTGTAGGATACTTCACACTATTTACACAGGCACCTACTGGCACTTGTTACTGTCGACAAAGATATGCTCGACTCAGTATGAGAACGTGGTTGATTGACATATTCAATTTAATATCAGCTGCCAACTATTAAGGCTGATTGCAGTACTAAAGTTATAACAGCAGCCATGTACTAAAGCAAATTGCTTCTTTCGAAAACGTACAGATCACTGGTACATCACCTCTATGCCCGATAAACCTTGAAAGCATGCAAGTCTTCCCCATATTTGCTGTGGCCGCACTTAGCTTATCTAATGTATACGCCAAAGGTATAGAGGCTAAATGGTCTGGAGCGGGCGGTGATGTGCTTCTCTCGCCATGGCAGATGCACCATGGTATCAACGCAAACGTCGATGACAGCGGCTGGCAGACTAATGCGTTTGATGCAGAAAGCGATAAAAAATGCGCAAATAGAACGATACATGGACATAAATGCTCTTACAGCAAGGCTGTGATACCACCGGAGGACTCAGAGTGGCTATACCCGCCAGATACAAAAATAATTGGAATGAAGCGTGATTCAATGTTATGTAAATTAGAAGAAGAAAAAGAACCTACGTGCTGGAAATACCTTGATTTCACTTACTTTCAGGCGTTTTTGACTATCCCAGAGCACTGTACAGTGTCCAAATTCACGATAGACTTTGATGGAATGGACGATGGTTCACAAGTTAAGGTCAATGGGGTTGAAGTTGAAGATAGCTATGTGTACCTCCGGGAAACCGGTACATCAGATTTGAAGGATCTAGTGAAGATTGGAAAAGTGAACCGAATCGTGATAACCCAGGTAGATGATTGTTGCGCGCATAACAACTTAGAAAAAGCCGTGGTGACCTTGAAGTCAAACTGTCGAATGACTACGTGCGAGTCAGTTCCTGATATATGCAACTATCCACGATGGTTCAAGACGACCAACTTTAACGATACAGTATGCGCCGATGGAGTCTGTGACGATAAAACTTGTTGTTTACCACCTCCTGAATGTGACAAGCAAAATGAATATCTCGATAAGGAGGGCAACTGCAACACTTGCAAAGAAGGTCAAAAACCAGACCATGACAATCTCGCATGTAATTCTTGTGCAAACGGATTGGATATCAACAAATACACAGACTGCAATTGCCATGACAACGAAGTTAACGTAAATGGTACATGCAATGCTTGCCCCGTCGGACAAAGCCCAGCAGATGATGACGAAGTATGCGTATGCGACAATGGACTTGACACAGCAGATGACTGCGAATGTGGATCCAACGAGTATTTTAAGGAAGGAGTCTGCTACGCGTGCGATATTAACATCGAGGTGCCAGACCACGATAACCTTGTATGTGCTTGTGCAAACAGATTGGATATCAACAAATACACGGACTGCAATTGCTATGACAACGAAATATACGTAAATGGTACATGCAACGCTTGCCCCACCGGACAAAGACCAGCAGATGATGACGACGTATGCGTATGCAACAATGGACTGGACATAGCAGACGACTGTGCCTGTCATGTAGATGAGGTGTATGCTGATGGCACCTGTGCTAAGTGCCCTGCGGGACGATCTCCCTCGAGCGATAGCAGCGTGTGCGAGTGCAATCCAACTCAGTGGAGTGAGTGGAGCACCTTCTCGGACTGTTCGCTGTTCCCCGTAGCGGGTAGCCCTAACACCAGCCTGGTGTGCACCTACACTAATGCTACCGTCGTGTTGAGCACAACACTGCTGGCTGACTACGAGCCCAACGCTTCGGAGGTTTATGCCACAGATCGTAGTACACAGGTAGCGATCACCAGCGTGACCTCTGAGGCATGTCAGGAGATGTGCGTGGCCGCCGCAGATGACGTCTGCAAGGAGGTTGGACTGTCTACAACTAACTTTGGGCGCACCACCGGCAACTTGACAAGCGGTATGTGGCTCCCTAGTACACATTGCTCAAAACATTCGTAGGTAGATATAGATCTCAAACAATTCGTAGGTAGATATAGATTTTTACAGATTTTGCTGTGGGGCTCAAGCCATTCGTAGTTAGACATAGACTTCGTTGCAGTGCTGAGGTATATGACACTGTGTAGAGTTTATCATGTACGCTCTCAATGTGTAGTTTTATGGCGTGCGTGGTAGACGAGACAGTTGTTACTTCGCCTTTCGGTTGGTGCTGTCTCACACCTGAACGACACACGCTTCACAAAAGGCAAGTACTGAACTCCACAGTACGAGACTACGAGCCCCGTAGAGATCTCACAAATCCCTAATCATTACGCGAATCTGCACTCACAATTCACGTTCACACCATCCATGACTAATATGCAAATACACACTCATTCTAACGCGTTCAGGTGCTGCGCCGGTCGCTGGATGTGACGTCCTGGAGCAGATGTGCATCTGTGCGTGCGTGCCAGGAGACGACAGTAACAACACAGCCGTCATTGCCGGAGGAGTTGTGGCTGGGTCGGCTATGCTCCTGGCAGCGGTGGGGGCAGCGTACTACTTCAGACAGGGACAACAGGCCACTGAGGCAGCCGCTACAGCGAATGGGATGTTCAACGATGTGAACAACAACACAAACCCGATGTTTGACAACCCTACGGAGACGAACTTCAATCCCGCGTATAATCCTCAGTAGATCAGATCAATTACTATAGCTTGGTAGATGAGATAGAATACTATAGTTTAAAGATGAGATTACTAGAGTTTATAGATGAGATTACTAGAGTTTACTCACGTAGTCGGACGGTTGATGAGATGCATTCCTGGGGTGTCGAATACGACACCACCTGATCGAGAAGAATCGATGTTACGATTTCACTTCACTGGCCGCCGTATGTTGTACAGCAGCGGCTATAAGCAATAAACATTCTCTTGTTCAGATAAGCAATACACATACACTTGTTCAGATAAGCAAAAAACATTCTCTTGTTCAGATAAGCAATACACATACACTAGTTCATATAAACAATACACATACACTTGTTCAAAAAAGCAATAAACATTCTCTTGTTCAGATGAACAATACACATACACTAGTTCATATAAACAATACACAAACACTTGTTCATATAAACAATACACATACACTCGTTCAAATAAGAAAAAGAAAAAAAAAACTCGTGTTCATATAAGCACTCAGCATTCTCTTGTTCATAAAAGCAATACACATACAAGCAAAAAAAAACATACTCGCACGCACACAATCAAGCACATACCCCATTTAAACTATAAGCACACACACAATCGGGCTGTAGCCTGATCATGTGATAGAGTGGGTCCACGTGGACTGTACAACACTGCAGAGTGGTCACTGCTCCATACACCACAGGTTGACGTCTTTCACTTCTCAGCGTTGAGGGGTTGCTGTACCGAGGTAGTGTACACCATTGCATTCCGATTGACACAGTCATACAATACAATACAATAGACGGTATGGCTGGGCCCACCCAGGAGACTCAGTCGAGGACTATGTGCAGATGGACAGTGTAGTTCGGTACATAACGGCCACACGAAAGTGTGCAAGGGATTTATCACACGCACATCTCAAGCGCATGCTCAGGATATTTAGCCATTCAACGTAGGTCACACTCTCGAGGGAAAGGTCTACAAAAGAACACCTAAAACAACATACAGTGCGACCATACAATTATAAGCGTGTGAGAAGAGAAGACAGTAGCACCAAGCACTGTAGTTGTTCCTGGAGATAGGGAGTGGTGGCGTCTGTCGAATGGGACACATGTACATACAACAAGAAGGCCTGAATTGCACTTCGACGGGTTGAGCCACCAGCACGCCATATCTCCACACACGTAGGTACTCACTCACTCACTCACTCACGTGTGGGTTATACGAATCATGTGTGTGTGCGTCAGGGATTGTATGCAGGTTACGTCTGCTCAGCTGAGCGGAGGAGGTATGAGGTGTCTCGGCTTCTGAGCTCACACAACGCACATGCTGTACTTCAGTATGGCTATCCGACATATGTCTAGCGGTATCCAGGTAGTAAACAACTCGTACATCGCACCGTTCATAAAGGCTTCGTTCCCTGCTATTGTATAACCAAGTTCATTTATTTGTATAACCAAGTTTATTTTTATCCGAGTTTACATCCGGTACGGTGATCGTGATCTCTCTCTCCGTTCACCCCGGCCAGACCCACCACCGCCCATACGATAGTCTCTGTCCCCTTCCACCCTCACCTCACCTCTATTACTACCGCCGCTATACCCACCCTCGGGACCACCCCGCGAGCCCCCAGAGCCGGCTGTATACCTACTCGACTCTCTCCCCCCCGGGCCACCTACACTACCCCCACCCCCGTAATTACGCTCTCGGTTGGAGATCAGGGGCTCGGCCACGGACCGTCTGTCAAAAGGATCATGGTTCCGGCCGGATGAGTAGCCGCTGGAGCCACCACGCCCGCCCATGTCACGTGCACTGTACCGTTTGTTGTCGCGTGCGCCGTCGTCACGGTAGGGATCTCTGCGCCTGTGATAGAAACGGATGGTGAAGGTATGGGGGTGAGGTGGACTGGGACTTGCCGGCTACGACAAATGGAGGGGAGCTGACAAACCTTCGGAAGGTATAAGACAAACAAAACATGCGGACACGCGATCGATGCCTTCTTAATATGTCACAACTTGACAGACAGGACACGATGGGAAGATACGTAAGCACCAAAAATCTTAAAACAAAAACAGGTGTTATTACATACATACCGTACTGCAACACATCGGACAAGCCATCGAAGACAGCGAGAAACTCAAACATGCACACACACACGCACACACACACACACATATATATATTCATACACACAGATAATCACTCAACCCACAGCAGTGCTGTCTACATCACCCCGACCATACCCGTCCAGTTCGCGTTCGTAGTCGTACAGTCTATTAAGCTCCGTTGTATGAAAGTCGATCATGCGCTGTCTGTACAGTGGATCCGCCACATCCTGCATCAGTGCTGGTTGCATAGACGCCCCTACCCCACCCCTTCCCCCAAACACCCCCCCGCCATAGCCACCCGAGGCAAAGCTGTTGCGTGAATCCCTGAGATCGCGAGAGTCCCTTCTGGGTGGTCCTCCACCACCGCCTATGGACTCGAAGCTCTTATGGCCACGGTAGCGACCGGGCGTGGGCGAGTGGGCCCTGTTACGCCTCGCCTGTGTGTAGAGAAAATGATTCCATGTGTAAGCAAAATGATTCTTTGTAGGTACAATGACTCTATGTGTAGGTGAAATGATTCTATGTGTAGGTACAATGACTCTATGTGTAGGTACAATGACTCTATGTGTAGGTACAATGATTCTATGTGTAGGTACAATGACTTTTATGTGTAGGTAAAATAATTCTATGTGTAGGCAAAATGATTCTATGTGTAGGCAAAATGAATATATGTGTAGGTAAAAAGATTATATGTGTAGGTAAAAAGATTCTATGTGTAGGTACAATGATTATATGTGTAGGTAAAATGATTCTATGTGGAGGTACAATGATTCTATGTGTAGATACAATGATTCAAACGAGTCATGGACGATAGGGTGTGGTTTGGACTCGGACAGCAGAAGCAATGGAGAATGAGTTGACACAAATCGGAGATGAAGCTACTTGACTGGGTTGATCCCAGGTGGAGGTAGGGATTTGTAGAGTGCAATGGCCGGATATGTCATAAGGCGCAGATGAGAGGTAATCAAATGTGCACTGGTTGTGAGTGAGCCTGTTCCGGCGTTGTTCGTTGTTTCGGCTAGTACGAGTCAACGTGTGAGATCCACTGGATTGTAATACCAACTAAAAACCCTAAAACCCTAAACTGCCGTCAGCCACAAATGGAGTGGCCCCACACTAACGCAGGTGGTACACGTAATCCTCCGGCAGATGGCAAACCGACGCACAGGAGAGAGTTAAGGAGTTGTCCGTTCTCATGCGCACACTACGGTTGACCGAGAAACGCAGAGGGCCTGATAGGACCAGACCAGACCACCATCAACCCAAACCAAGCACCATAAAACCTTATGGGAAGGACAACGGAGACTGGTGGAAGTTGAATGCAGGTACACATACACACCACACATACCTTGGCGACTACAATCTGCTTGCCGTTGAGTGTGGATGAGTTGAGTTTGGCAATACACATCGCTGCAGCCTCTGCGCCGTACATGGTGACGAAGCCAAACCCTCGCGACTCCTGCGTGTGAGGGTCACGCATCACCCGCGCAGACTTGACCTGTATGTGTATGTGGTATGCACATACGTGAGTACTCTGATGCACTGATGTGGCTGATGCCTACATACATACGTTTACGCCTGTGTATTGAGGTGATACTAAATGAAAGGCTGTACCCAGCCTAGCTTGAAATCTGTATGCGAGACAACATGTGGCTGAGGTGATTGGATGTACGACTACATACTTCCGAATGATTTATTTAACCAGTAGTCTGGGAACGTAACATCGAACCCCAAGCTAGCCGCACAGGAAGTGCAGAGAGATACACCGGTGCATCCCCTTGTTTGTATCAGAGTGAGTGAGTGTGTTATGTGTAAAGTCGGCGACGCCAAGGAAACGAATAACAGAACAACACCAACACCAGAACTCCCCCAGCCAACTCAAACTCGGATACACCCGTGGGGGATACACGCAGGGGTGGCCCAGGCGCCTTTGCATATCTGGGCGAAACAGCTAGCAGACACCCCCACTAACCCTACCCCTGTACCTACCTACCAACACATCACCTACAAACACACCGTCAAACCAATCGACGTCACGAGTGTTTGGGTTACGCGTAGCCACGTGCGGCACGAGGCTATCGCAGCGCAAACCAATCAGCAGCAAGTACCACTCCACGCACACAGAGGCCATCCACAACAACTCCGCCTGAGAGCTTCCAGAGCACACACGTCGCAACGGACTTATTACTACTACTACCTAGTACTACCACTACTGCTGATACTACTACAACTGCAACTACTACAACTACTACAACTACAACTACTGGACACGACAGCCCTAGCACATCTCTCGTTCGTTACCCAGCCACATCGCTCACTCCACACACGAAACATCAGTCTTTCACCAAACACTCGTCATCTCAAACACCACAGCTCACACCCCCCACACACACGTAATGTCTCCGTCCACACGCACCCGGCCATACACGGCAAAGGCTTCCTGCAGGTCGGCATCGCGTGTGCTTGGGTTGAGAGCTGTAACGTGCAGCACCTCTTCGTCACCGTCGCCACCGCCGCCTCGGCTGCCACGGTCACGATTCCTTGCGCCGTGACCGCTACCGCTGCTGTATCTTTGCCTCTCACCGCTGATTAAGTACAAAAGGGACAGGCCGTCAAACGTGTGGTTCATAATAGACAGTGACCTATGTAAAACTAGACCCCATTGCACCTGTGCTTATCACCGCTGATTAAGTACAGAAGGGACAGGCCGTTGTACGTGTGCTACATAATAGACGGTGACCTATGTAAAACTAGAACCCATTGCACCTGTGCTTATCATCGCTGTGTACGCGCTAAAGCAAATATTAATCGATAGTGTCTGTCACGACAAAAGAGACATATACTAAGATGTGCGAGACTAAACGTAGTAACATCCTGCGCTTCGACCGCTACTACTAATGTAGCTGTGCCTGTCGCAGTTACTACCCATGTAGCTGTGCCTGTCGCAGCTTGACTACGAGGCGTGCGAGAATTCTGAGGGTACATGTGATCATCGTTTAGACTAGCTTGGCAGATAAGCTATAACTGAATGATACGATTCTTCGCATCACAACCGCTACCGCTGCGGTGCCTGTCCCTGCCACCGCGGGTGTAGTGCAAGAGACGTTCAATGGTGGATTTCAATACCGCTACTACAAGTAGGTGTTATGTTAAAGCCTGAATTTGTACCACGAAGCAACGGATAACAATCTGAAACCAGTCCAACAAACGGGGGAATCATGTCTAATTATCAACGCCGGGGATAGTTAATTGGAGTTCAGGTGCGTACTGTATGAAACGTCTGGCACCTAGACCAGGCTGAGCTAAATGCGCAGGGCGAAGCCTACACAGGTACACCCATTCACATTCATAAGACACCTCTTTCGTACACACTCCAGACAGCGACCAAGTACACGCGGGAAGCCTAACTTACAAACACTACAAAGGACAAAAGTGCACGCGAACTCGTTTCTGATACGAGCCAAATCGGAAACACAGACCCAATAGGCGTACGAGGCAATTTGGAAACACAGACCAATTTCTGATGCGAGCCAAGTTGGAAACACAGACCAATTTCTGATACGAGCCAAATCGGAAACACAGACCAATTTATGATACGAGCCAAATCGGATACACAGACCCATTGGGCATACGAGGCAATTCGGAAACACTGACCAATTTCTGACACGAGCCAATTCGAAAACACAGACCCATTAGGCATACGAGGCAATTTGGAGACACAGACCCATTTCTCATACGAGCCAAATCGGAAAATAGTCCCATTGGGCATAAGAGGCAATTTGGACAAACATATACATTTTTGGTACGAGCCAATTCGGAAACACAGACGCATGTGGCATACGAGCCGTATCAGAAAAGGATAATCACCCCATTCCGAATAGGCGACGGTGGGACCAAAAACGCAGCGAACACCGATACCAAGACAGGCTTAAGCTATGTCACTGTAGGTTTATGATTGATCCGTCCACACATCCGAGCCACAACCGCACCCAGACTCCCGCCCAACTCTTACCGATTACAACCAGACACAGGTACACACATCTGGCTCCACCTGCTAGTACCAGTACCATCCACACGTGCACACATACCTCTGACCGTCATCTTCGCGGGAGTCTCCATCGAAGTCCGCTCCCTCTCGCGCAGATTCGTCTGGGCCTCCATGACCTGTATTCTGATTGGACATAGCGTTGCTACCACCATGTTCCTCCCCGGCTGTGTGTCTACCATCGTTCTGGAAGTCGTGTGCATGTATGGGTGAACGCGAGCGTGTGCGGCTTTCCATGGCTTGGTGCGACTCCTGTGCCATGTCCTCGTCCATGATGCTGATGCTGAGTTGCGGATTTGGTGTATGTGTGTTTGAATATTCATGTGAATAATATACATATACACACACAGGATTTCATATATATATATATATATATATATATATATATAGACCGAGGCGTGGTTGTTGTGCTGCTAATGAGTTGTTGTACATATGCGGAGAGATTGTTTGCACATGTCACATTGTTGCCTGTTGCCGTGTTCTATGTCTGCATGTGCGTGCAAGTGGTGCCAATGACCATCATACACCCCGTCCTAACTTCAGAGTCGCACGTGTGTGTGTGGCGCTGTGAAAACAGCTGCAGCCCTCTAAGCCAGAATAAGCACCACCTCGACTTCGCAACGTGTTTGCAATGCGAAGGTGACGAGTTCTCAGGCTATTGATGACTGTAGCTACCTCCATGCTCGACTTTGACAAATGTCCATGTGCGGCATTCTGAAGGTCCAGGTTTTAAAAGGTACTTAATGCTTGTGGCCCCGCAGTCAGTTTATCTCAGCTAGGAATAGTCTTGGTCTGGGAGGACCGCTACAGTCCCACACAGGAACCTTAGTACAAACACCGAATGGGCGAAATGGATGGCTATTTGTTGAATGTTGGTGTGTTGTTGAGCTTGCACATATCTGGCTGCGTAGTTAAGTGACTGGGATAACTGTATGCGCGGTCTAGTTGCAGTGAGATGTTTTAAAATCAAAACGTTTCTAAACCGGCCTTGCCTTACGGTGCTCATACCACCTTGATGCGTAAACGTTTGGGTGGAAATATCGTTGTGCTTGTAAACTAGCGAGCCTCGAACTCATACTACGATGGATTCGAATCAAATCCGAACAGATTCTGCTGTGGTGAGTGTGGTAGTTGTGTGAGATGCCGGCAAACTAAACTAACGCTGCCAGAACAACCACGAAGTATCTGCTCCAATCCCGTCGATTTGCAAGTGCTGAAACTCTGTATGATAAACCGTTCCGTGCTGTTGATCCTGAATGCGATGCACGTGTCTCGTTGGTACAGAGTGAGGGGACTATAACTACATATTGTTATATCGGAGTGTGGAGGAGATACTGTTCGGTACAGTCGCAGGGTGTGCATCTAGTAGTGGGACACATATCACGGGGTTGCTGCTGGTAGAGTATGTGCTTGATCGGGTTGTACCGAACCGGTAAAGTGCACCGGAATGTATACTGATGTCTCATTGCGTTGGGCCGATTGCGTATGTACGTTTTGGGATGTTCGTGTGAATTCTGTTGGGTGGTAGCCGGGTAGACCACCGGCACAGCAACGCACGTGCTGCTGAAAACAAAGTCACACAGACTTCGCGGTATCAGACAATTAAGCGCTGTGCTGGAGCTCAATGGAGAAGCATATCACGCTTATAAGGATGCGTCAATAGCGATGTTACAAGTACACGTATGTAGCGAGTGATGCGTGTCGACGGGCGGGCTATACACAGGCAGCTGTACACTAACTCGTCCTGCGGTCCATCGCTTTCAGCACACTCTGTACCACAGCATTGTGACTCTGTACAGGGCCTTTGCTGTATAATGCCCTTGTCTTGGACTGAACTGTATGTATCTGACTTCTTGGGGTTCGTGCGACCTAACATCTTGTATTTGCAATGTCTCATCCCGTGGTAGGCGGAATGGGATGCACACACACACCCTCCTCAAAACAATACGATCTGAATCTGAACTCCACTGTCATACTAGCATACAACCATGCACATGCTGGGAATACCTGTGGTGCTGTGCGATGAGTGTGCGGCTGTTCTGAGTGGCAAGTCGTTTGCGGATTCCGTGTTGTTGCGCTCACCACTGCTTGCTGATGTGTTGAGTCGAAGGACGTCTTCAGATGCGATGGTCTAAAGCTACTGATTCCAGATAAAGGTGTATGTTGGATCTGATGATGTTTGTGGTAAACGGTAGTGACTAGTGGAGATGCGGATGCATGGACTATTACAATACACTTCGACCCTGTATACTACTACAGTGTTATATTACTAGCTGCGTGTGTTTATGTATGTACAATTGATGGGACGTCCTGCAAGGTGTATGGGGTGTGAAGTACATGTATAAACTCAGTCGCTGGACAGAACGGGAATTGCGGGATAAATTTTATATTTTTAGTGTTTTTTGCTTTTATACAAAAAAATACCACGGTGACCGGAGAATCGGAGACTTCGGCGATTTTCTATTTTTAGATGGACAGCTGTCAATGGGTCATTGGCACGCCCGAGTGACACTTTGACCGATGCTCCGGTGAACCCCTCTACTTTTTAGAAACAAAAATAATATATTTATGTATGTATGTCTTAGTCAGTATTGCTACATCCTGTTTTTTTGGGGGGGCTGTAGAACTTCAGTAGAACTACTCGAGAACAACAGATGACACCAAAAGTGGATGTCACATTGGGACGGACACAAGAAGTGGACGATATAAATAACTAAATATATATGTGTGGATATGTGGTCTAAAGGCAATTTAATAATGTATACTCTCTACAAGTCACATACTTGGGTATATTTATAATATAGGCATGCCAGCAGAATCCTCAGAACCACAATTACTATTTACAATACACTTGCAGGGTCAGGTTTTGTAACGGCACATTACACTTGCAGGGTCAAGTTTTGTAAACAACGCTGGTAGATAAAACATGCTCACTGTTCACCGAGCCAGACAGGCGGTACGCGTCTCGCAATCAGCGCGTGTGATTGCATGCACAGCTGCGCGGTCGTACGCATCACCTTCGTTTAAATACCAGGAACTGTTCACAAGTGAGAATCCAGTGGATATACCCTGGATGAAGCTGACAGACAAGTATGTGTCTACTGAGAAAATTGGGGACAGAGAGTTTCTTAAGGTAGAGCCAGAGGCTTTGCAACTGCTGTCTGCGACGGCTATGAACCACATTGCACACTTGCTGAGACCAGCACATCTACAGCAGTTGAGCAACATTCTGAAGGACGATGAGGCATCACAGAACGACAAGTTTGTGGCGTTGGAGTTGTTGAAGAATGCAAGTATTGCTGCAGGTGAGTATGTGTGTTGTTAGATCGGGGTTTATGAATGTGTCTTTGCTGCCTCACGTTCGATTGCATTTGAGATAGATAAAGCTATGGAATACCAGTATAATATAACACACACGCACACATACACATACACGCACACATACACACACACGTACATACACACACATACACGCACACATACACGCACACATACACATACACGTACATACACACATACACACACACATATA